ACAATTTTCATTCTCCATAACAGAAATCATCAGAAATTTTTATAAAGTATATACTTTATCAATGATTGTACTTGATATTGTCATGTGTATTTACTCAAAAGCAAAAACGAAACATTTGAAGTGTTTAAGCACTATAAGTCAAAGGTTGAGAGTCCACCTAGAAAAAAGATTAATGCAATAAAAAGTGATAGGGGTAGTGAATACGATTCCCCTTTCAAACAATTCTATTCGGAACATAGAATTATTCATTGAACTATTGCACCATATTTTCTTCAATCTAATGGTACAGCTGAATTCAAACATTGAAGGAGATAACGAATGCTATGTCGATAAACTCGAATTTAATTTTTGATGAAGATATATGTACAATCATTATAGAGAACATTATATGAATGTCCAAAACACTTTGCAACGTTCTCTTGATTTAGCCATTTGATTACTTATTTATAATTCTTCACAAACATACCTTGATAGGTTGAGCCATAATTCTCTATATTTTAACACAAATCAAAACACATAAAGATCTACTGATCAAACACCAAATCATCCACTCACTTCCAGTATGTCTGTTAGAGTTCTGAAAATCTAGGAAGTGATTGGAGTTTCGGTTGGAGAAAGATGAGTACGTTCTTAGTGTTTCACATGAGAGAAAAGTGGTCCAGGGTTCTGAAAAGTACAGGGTGCACAACCAAAAGTGTTCCTTGGTTTAATTTTTTTTTAGTGGAGTTTATTGGCAAGTTTGTTTGGAGGTTTTTTATCCCGTGGAAGAGTTTTCCTCCGTGATCATATTTGGTGTTAATTTATTTATTGCTTTTGATTTGATTGATTAAAAATACTTGATTGACACATAAGATTAAATTGAATTTAACCTTAATCATTTAGAAACAATTAATAAGTGACTTGTTACTTTTAATTGTTTAATTCCGCACGTTGGATCTAAATAATTTGAACTTTCAAAATTAATTGTAGAGAATTAAAAATAAGGAAATAATGGAATACACTATTGGTTTTGAGAATAATTGGTGTAATAAGTTGAAGATGATTAAATAAGATGGTTTGAAAGTTGCACTTTTTTCCATGATATATAAATAATATTTCTCAAATGGCCGAGTGTTGTTGAGGAGGGGATTTGGTATCGGACTAAAATAAATTCCAAGTTGGATTAATATCTAAAAAAAGAAAAATTACACATAAAAAATATTTTTTACATAAAAAAAATGGAAAAAAATTTTATCCATCAAAATGAAATGGGGTGAAAATTTATCCATTTGCACAAATGATTTTCCTTCAAAATGAAATGGGCTGAAAATTGATTTTCCTTCCCATCAAATTGATGCAAATTGACATCACCCATTCAAGTCGGTGCCTTCCCCTTCCCATCACATTCTACAATTCATTTTCCTTTGCGAAATGTTATGTGCAATGTTGCGTCAACATCTCGTTTCTCGATAATTTGAGCTAGGCCGTCGAAGAGTCTTGGCAAGTCTTCAGATTCCTCGTTAGGCTCATGGTTCACTTCTTCATTAAATGTACTCGGCTCCCCCACTTAAATTTTTATTTTTCACTCAATCGAAATATCCACAATTATTACTACACGTGAAGAACAAGCGCCCTTTGTTTTCAGTGTTCAGTTCTACCTCAAAACATTTTCGAAATCTGTATTCACATGAATGGCATCCATGTTTTGTTTGGCATTGTCCAAAGTAACGAGTGGTACTTCTACAGCCATGACAAAACTCCGAAATTCCTTCCTCTCATTCTAGTCAACAACTGTTCAAGAAACAAATAAACCCACATGAATCCAACTGAATTATGAAATCCTACATTGGAACTTATGAACAGCAATACATTGCAAACAAAGAACTGACCTAATTGTATTTCACTAACATTCTTTCACTACCATCTTGCAAATACAAATTCAATAAAATAAGGATAATTTTCTCCACCATCATTCAACTTCGAAATTGGCCACAAATTCAACAAGCTTTTTACAATATAAACAGAGAACGAAAATGACGGTATCAAATTCAGCAAACTTTCCCCAATAAATTGCTGAAACGAAATTAAGAAAAAAGAAGATTTTTCAAAATTTCATGTGTGAGCTACACTATTTACGAGCAACAAGCAAAATGCCATTTTCAATAACATGCTAATAATTTGAAGAACAATAGATAATAGAGCAAGCCTTGCTATTATTTAATTAGGAATCGAAAAGTTATTTTGCCACAAAATTTCTGAAAATTCATACAAAATCACAAATTTACGAAGAACAAGAGATCAAAGACTTCAACTTCATCAATGGTAAGGCTCCATAATCTTCATACTTCAAATATATGTCAAAATAAAGAGGAAAAAAAACAAACAATGATGTAAACAAGTCTAAGACAGCTTAACGATAAATTAGCATAAAATAGTAAATAACAAAATAACTTTGCCTAGCTCAGACACGTAGATATCGGCGCTGCCTTCAAATTTTGTTTCCACCTTGGGTTTCAGTGGCCTGCCTCACACTACGTTAGAAAAGATGGCACCAGTCAGTGGAATCGTGCTTGTTTTTCCTTTGTTGGCCCATAAATTCGACGATGAAGCGTGGTGGTTTGCTTTTGCTTTTTGGTTTGGGGGGAAAAAGGAAATGATTTGGGAGAAGTTCTACGGGTCTATTTTAAGGGTGAAGACGACCGGTTTCTTTTGGAACCGGGTTTTGGTTGAAAATGAAAAGGAAATAAAAAAAAAAAACATATAATATGTGCCAGGTCAGCCAATTCAAATTTCTATAAGTCTTCTGTGCAAATTTCCCGTACCCATAGAATAATCCTCCATACAATGCTTGCCACACTCAGAAATGATATTTGTCCCGAAGAAATGGACAGGCAATTTGAATGGCGTTGAGATTGCAACACCTAATTAGATGTTTTAACTAATTTTTTGTCAAAAATTTAATGAAATGTTTTCACTTGACATTCTGTAAATTCATCTGATCATTTTCCTTGTACAAGTAGCATTGCTTGCCACCCTAGGCAGATTGAGGTGGGCCTGGTTCGTTTCAAATTTTCTCAGCTATGCAAATCTATTATTGCGTCTGTGATGACCTAAAAATCACCTAGTCCGAGGACGCCATTGAATTGAGAATAATTATTTGAAATACCGCAAATAAATTATTTATGATGATGAAAGTGTTATTCTGGACTATCAATTTCTCTTTCAAACAATTTTAAGATATTTATTCTCAGAATCTCAGATTATAAGAATGGACTATTAACAGACTTGACATCACCCAAAGCAAGTGGATATCCATTTGAACCATTTCCCACTTCGAGTCCAAAAATCTCTCTCCAAAGATTTTTTCATCGCATCTCCCGTTTTGTCTACATTTCTTTTCTTTTTCTCTTCGTCCTTGGCATGCTAAGGTCTAAATTTCTTGTCACACCACACTCAAGAACATAATCCAAATTATTTGGATACATCTTGAGTGTTATTTTAACACATTTGGAAAACTAACACTCTTGGAATATTCGGAGAAGCGGTATGAAGGCAAAATTATGTTGTTCAAAGGCTACAAACTAAATTGCTAGTTTGGTTTGAATTAAAATCTGATTTTAATCTAAGTCGAAGTCAAACAATCAATATTAACCACATCTTTTATACATCTCACAATTTTTCAACTACACATTTCAAAAACTTTTATCACAATCTACTAAAAAATTTAATTTTAATTCTCACCAAACACTCTCAGAAAAGATTAATCCAGACAAACTTCAAAATTTTTTTCCAGAGTTTCTTTACCTCTTGTGGGAAGCTTAACTCAAATCCTAACCTCTATTGCTTTTGTTTCGCTGAGAATGAACAATATCACAACATATTTTCTAATTATCAAAATCAATAAAAATTAACACTTCATAACAATCTATAGAAACAATCAGAAAAGGCCTTGTGAAATTGGAACCACATTATTACAAAGGGTATAAATTGCCATAAGCAAGAGTCACAAGTGTGTAGTTCATTATTTCAAGTGATTAAGCTTGGCTGGTGGTTTCCCGCAGAATAATGTTGAAACTGGCATTATTTGGATAATTTTGTTCTAAGTACCCACTCTTTACATGGGGATCTATGTTGCAAGAAGACTTCAAAAAAATATAACGAGAAAATGTCATTAATTGACTCCATAGATCCACTTCTCAGCATTGTTTGTGTAACTAACCAACTCCTCGGGTTTAAACCACAGTTTAATTTCATCCTTGGCTGTCTCTGGACCATCGCTGCCGTGGATTATATTTCTGGAAGCATAGAATTATATAAGGATGAGTTATCCAGGACAAGCAGGGAAAATCTGACCGTTGCACAAAAGACTTCTTAGCATATATTTTCTAGGATTGATTGAGATAAAAGTTCCAAGATTAAGATTAGAAGCTCACAAAATTTTCTATTGCAGAATGTTTAATGAGATCTTCTATTTCACCCTATTCTGAAGGAAAGGATTTACCTTTCAACCACAACGGCCAAATCCCCTCGGATGGTACCAGGTTCTGATTTCTGGGGATCTGTAGCTCCAATAAGTTTACGACCATATTTTATTACTCCTTCACCTTCCCAAACCTGAAAAAATAAAAAATCGAGCTCAGTTCCCTAAAGAATAGTTTGAAGCAAGCAGATTCAGTCGAACTCTTCTAACCATTGCAATGACTGGTCCAGAGCTAAGAAAATCACACAAGCCATCAAAGAATGGTCTCTCCTTCAGATCATGATAATGCTTCTGGGCAAAATCCTTTGAAGGAACCAAAATCTTTATAGCAACAAGTTTATAACCTTTGCGCTCAAAGCGAGATATGATTTCTGAAATCTGATACCATGGAAACATTATCAGATCATGCAAAATTAGAACATGTTTATACAAACTTGTTGCAGACTGGGACACAAGCCCAAAAGGAAAGAAGTGGGAAGGGGATCCAAGTCTAGATTATACAACTGAATGCAGAAATATTTTCAGCCCCAATTCAGAAACTAATAAACTCGAGCATATCATAAAATCTGTGATTTTATCAAAGCTTGTCAATATGGTATCTGCAGAAGGTAACCTTCTATTAATAATAAAATAAGCTTGAGAGAATAGTACCAGTCCTCTCTGAACTCCGTCTGGCTTGATGGCAATGAAAGTTTGCTCCATCTTCATAAAGAAAAAAAGATGCATTGTCAGCCAACAGACAAAAAAAGAATGGACAACAATGACTCACTTGCCAGAATTAGGTGGGGAAACTCAAGTACCTCGGCAGCATGTGCCTCTTGCTCCTGGAGCATGTAAGCTACGACACAAACAAAGATCAAGTCAGAATTTAAAGTTGAAAGAAGCTATGGGACAGGGGTAAGACGGGGGACGCTGGGAAGATTTTGAGATATTGACAGTGCAGGGGCTACTATGTTTAACCAAAAAAAGGGTACTTGTTTGAGATTGCAAAGCATTGTGGGGATAAACACAGGAATATACTCAAATGAGAGCTATGATTTGAGCAAACTGTTTCACCTCGTTACCATGCTAAAGCATGAAAATAAATTTCTAGGAAGAGGTAACAAATTTCACAATGCAAAACTTAAGCAAGGGATAAGGCAGCTCTTCTGTTAGCACCCTTACAAGCACTCAGATCCCCAACATTCAAATCCTCAATTTGAGTTAGTTTTGTCATTTCAGCAGTTAAAATAACTTGCATAACGAAAAATGATGTTTGAATTTGTGCAGGGGATAATTTAACTAGGTAATATACAAAAAGAAACTAGTTCAAAAGCATTTAGAGGGGATATAGACCTGCTGCAGGAATGGCGAGAACTCCTGAAATCCAACCCCGAAATGCATTTCCTGATTCAAATGAACCAGATGAAGATAGAGCCTGCACTCTTCCTCTAAAAGTAAGAGCTGCAGCCGCTGCTCGTCCTCCTGCCATTACAAAGATAGTTAACTTTTCCTTTTCCGGTTTTGATGAACTTTACAAATTTAAGCTTATTTATTTTTGTTAGAAACTCCAATAAAATTATAACAAACCATTAAGATTAATTAGATTAGTCAAATTTAGTTAATTAAAAATTCAATCAAAGCACTTCAGAAAATTTGTATATTAAACTAATACCAGCACACAGTGTTTTGGGGGGGGGGGGGGGGGG